AGGTGCAGTTGTCTATCCTCACTGATTGCAACCTATGGGTCAGAAAGCTGAGGATGCAGTTGCAGAGGGCAGAGCAGAGACAAAGGTCTTGGAGTTTTGAGATCAGTCCGGAGGGGATAATGTTGTTGAAGGTGGAGCTGTAGTCAACAAGCAGGAGTCTGACATAGGTGTCTTTGTTGTCCAGATGTTCCAGAGATAAGTGCAGGGCTAGGGATGTGGCATCCTCTATGGACCTGTTACAATGGTAGGCAAACTGTAGGGGATCAAGGCAGGTTGGGAGACTGGAGTTGATGTGGACCATGACCAGCTACTGAAGTCAGAGCTATTGGGCGTCAGTCATTAAGGCACACTGTGTGTGTTTTCTTGGGTACGGGGATGATGATGGTCTTCTTGAAGCAGGTGGGGACTTCGGCCTGTAGGAGGGAGAGATGTCAGTGAATACCCCCACCAGTTGGTCCACACAGGATCTGAGTGCTTGGGTGGGAACACAGTCACCACCTGTCGCTTCCCTTGGGTTGACCCCCAGGAAGACTGATCTGATTCTGAAGCGGTGACAGAGGGATTGGGTGTGTCTGGGGCTGTGGAGGCAGGTTTCGCCATGCCGATGGTATTCTGCTCAAACCAAGCATGGAAAGCATTGAGCGTGTCAGGGAGGCTTGTGTCATTGCCCGCCATCTTACACTGTTTCATTTTGTATCCTGTAATGTCATTTAGGCCTTGCCATAGACAGCAGGAGTCTGTTTGATAGTTCTAGGCCTCTAACTTGGTCCAGTACTGTGTCTTGGACTACTCACAAATCTGAAAGCCTAAATGTTCTCAATTCTCACAACCTACAGATTTCTAATCAAAATAATCAGGCCAAAGATATTCAGGCTGGGTGGATAGGTCATGGGGATTGCAGGGATAACGTAGGGAGGTGGGTCTGGGTAAGATGCTCTTCAGAGGGTCAGTGTGGACCCAGTGAACCAAATGGCCTCTTTCCACACAGTACGGATTATATGATATGATTCTCCAGGTTTGGAAGCTTAATAAACAAAACTCTCCTTCTGAGGTGATAGGGCCACTGTCCTGCTTGGACCGTTAAAGAGAGAAACTAAACTTGATTCTTAACTCAACCCTGATGTTTTCTGAACTAACTCAAAAAAACTTTTTTAAATTCTAGATTCTTCTGAACTGAAAACAAACCTAATGACCTTAAATACAATAGAGAACAGCAGATGTTGGAGGTCTGAGACAAAACGACAAAGTGCTGGAGAAACTCAGCAGATCTAGCAGTATTTGTCAAGAGAGAAACAGATTTAAGATTTCAAGTACAGTGACCCTTCATTCGAACTGAAGGAGGGTCACTGGACTCAAAAGATTAGATCGGCTTTCTCTCCACACATGTTGCCAGGCTTGCTGAGTTTCTCCAGCACTTTCCGCTAATGATCTTAAGTACTTACCCTCTCTGTCACAAGCCATACAGTATACACCTGTGGATCTGCATACTCATGTGGTCAGCCCCAGGCCAATCTTTTTCCTTCCGTTAACTCATTGGAGTTCTTCACAGTAGACAGGAAATTTAATTTGTAGCCACATTTTTGTTATCTGCAGGAGGTCTGCGCCCCTGTCCCCTACGAATACTAAGGTTTTGATATAAATACCTTTCTGTTAAAACCACAGAGGTCTGCCATCACCTACCTTAGGACAAAGGCTAGACTTGAGTCATTGATCCAGAAGGATTCTCTGACCATGTTTTTATTTTCTTATAAAAGCCTTTCACAGAAATAAGCCACGCCCATCTGCCTCTACTTTGAAATAAAAAATTCAGATAAACTGTACACCTTTCGTCATAGTTTGAAACAGGCCACAAATTGGCTAGCACTTCTTTTTTCCCTATGGTTGACGATCAGTCCAGTGATATTCTGCTCATAAATCCTTATTGCATTTCCATCAATCACTATTTTCGTCAACAATTCTGAACTGTGTCCCTCATACTACTACATAGCAGTTCTGTAATTAGTGCATCTTTTCCGCAACTGTATCTCTGCTGGATTGGAATAAAAGCTACTGAATTCACATTCAGTGCCCTCATCAGTCTCTCCAAGCTCCTGAATATTACTACTGGCAACCTCAGATGGTCAATACAGTTACTTTCTCCCTGGTTTGTCCCATACTGTTCTTATAGATTTATCACCTATTGGAAAATAACATTCCATGAGTGCTTTTCTCTGAAATATACATTGAAGATATTGATGAATTCTTCAAATTCTGTCTCTGAGTCCAAATTCCCAATGATCAGTATATTTTTTTCTTATCAAGTATTGTATTATCATTTATTTTAATACCTTTTATTGAATTTTTTTATTAAGTGGCTTTATCACCTGGTACAGGTCCAGTATCCCTTATCCAAAAACCAACTGTTTCTCGGATAAAGGATAGTTTTGGTTTTCGGATACCAGGCATTGAATAGCTTTGCGCAGTTTCAATTACTTCTTCTAAGTCAACAAAAAGCAAGGTCATAGTGCCTGCTCCGATTCCTAAACATACTAAACTGCAGTGAATTTCACAAATTTTATCTTAAGGAAATACAAAGAACAGGCTCTTACGGTACAGCGGTGATGTCTCTACCAGGAAACCCAGGTACAGGTCCCACATACTTCAGAGGGGTACAATTATAGTCATGGCCAAGTGGTCAAGGCAATGGATTCAAAATCCATTAGGGTTGCCCCACGCAGCTTTGAATCCTACTGACTACAGTTGAAGTCTGAGGGCAGAGAAGAAGGGCATTTCACCCCATACTAAGGGTGGCATTGTGGCTCAGGGGTTAGTACTGCTGCTTCACAACGCTGGGGAACCAGGTTCAATTCCACCCTCGGGCGACTGTCTGTGTGGAGTTTGACATTCTCCCCATGTCTGTGTGGGTTTCCACCGGGTGCTCAGGTTTCCTCCCGCAGTCCAAAGATGTGTGGGCTAGGTTGATTAGCCATGGGATGTACATTGATAGGGTAGTTGTATGAACAGAATGTGCATCAGATTCATTGATCAAAGAAATGGATTTTGAATCTTCCAAGATTTCTGCGACCTGTCAATTTCTGCCGAGTGTGTTAGTAAATCTTTATCACCTTGCTTAATAAATCAGTTAAATAATTCAGAATGGTTATTATCTCCTGTGATGGTGCCATTCAATGATTATCAATCACGTTGTGTGTATCAATAACTATTGACAAAGAAGAATCAGGTACAGAACAATCACCAAAAGATTCTACGTTCACTTGGATATCCTTAGGTCCACTATACGTCTATTTGGACCCTTTTTGGAAAAAAAAGTCTTTGCGTAACTCAAACAGACCTGAATGGACTTAAACTGAAGGTATTTTCAAAGGGCCTGAACTCAGTGTGTCTGCTGGTCTGTTCAAATCTATTCGGGCTCACTTTTGAAAAGACCCTTGGTTTTTAGGTCTTTCCTGTTTCTGGACGTGCAGATAATGGGTACCTGACCTGTTGTGGGTACCACAAATGTTCAATAAAGATGTCGCAGCATGGTAATTCTCAAGTCATTATTTTGCCGTTTGTGTTATAGAAGGCCAAATGAGAACAGCTTCCATTTAGAAGAACTTCCTAGTGTTACATGCTCATTGAATACTTCCTTGTCAAATTACTCCTTCCAAAGTGTATCACCTCACACTTTTCAGGGTTAAATTCCATCTGCTCACTTACCTGCCCATTTGACCATCCTGAAGACACTCAGCCTGTGTTAGCCTTCGAACCAATCTTTGTGTCATCCGCAAACTTATAAATCCATACCTTTCTCTAAATGACGAATAATAGGGACCCAGCACAGACCCCTGTGGTACACCACTGAAACAGTGGCTTCCAATCACTATAGCAGCTTTCTGTCATCACCCTCTGTCTCCCACAACTGAGCTAATTTTGAATCCACACCTTCATCATATATGCAATGTAGAAGTAGTACTGTAGCTAATAATACTGTGAGCATGTGTTATAATAACTTATTATTAGCCACTGAAATGAAATTTAGTCCAAATGTTGGAGAAAGCAATCAATTATCCTAAATGGACTGAGAATAGACGGGCAGCGCCGGACAGTGTTGTCTGGTGCTACCTAGAGGGATGCCAGCTTTAAACTGCCAGATCAAATGGTAAGGTCAGTGTCAAATTTGAGCGGTGTATAGGGAGCTCCCAAAAAGCAGGAAATCGAGGATGAGACACAAACAGTGCAGGATCGAGTAGTTGCTTTTGCGTCGGTTCTTTTAATTTGCTTTCTGAAAGCCCAATGCCCATAAGCCTACCACTTAGGTTGTTTAAATTCATTTTGATGTTGTTAAATACGTTCTCTGCAGCCCAGTGGGGTCTGGGTCTATTGGCCTGCCGACTTAATGGCACAAGCCCCCTCAGGAGCCGGCTGCTAATCTCCCAGCTCCTGAAACCCTGAAAGAAAGTAATGAGAGCAGCTTGTGACTGTAATGTAATGATGGCCTGTGCCTGGAATTCCAGCAGGGCAGTGAGGAAGGCAGGCTGATTGCAAGACACTGCCAGCAGCCTTGTTCTTGTAAGTGACCTGTCTATCTTCAGTTTCCTGCTGCACACAAACCATCATGCCCTACAACTTAATCAGGGTTTGTATTGATTTACTTCCTCATAGTGAGAGTTTGAACGATTGCTATTTTCACCAAATTTTTAAAAAGTATATATTTTTTGTATTCATGAGTATAGAACAACTTCTCATATATATTAATTTTCAAATGATTGTTCTTTTTAGTTTTCTTTGCATTTGTGATTTACTTACAAGAATGCTTTTAGGACAGAGTGGCAGCCCTTCAGACAGGAGAAAAGCCTCTATACCTTCATTCTTATAGCTGCAGCTGAAATGACAGTCGACCAGACAGGTGATGAGCTAAAGGGAAATGTATTTGCTAATTTGAGATCATACATAGATGGAGGTGTCAACCTTACCAGCTATGAGTATTTTCTCTTTCATTTCCTATCCGTTATATCTAGGGACAGTTTCAGGGGCTGCAGCTGGTGCGGAACAAGCTAAAGGGGAGCCAGTTGACCTTCGAGTTTTGGTAGGCAACCCTGAGGCATTTGTGAATAAGAGTGCCCAGGCCAGATGCAGCCTTGTCATTCCAACTGTGGGCTTTGCTGGGGTTGAGGTTCGCAGGCAATGTGGATGTGGAGGTACCAGGCATCTACAGAGTGCCCTGAGAGGATAAGAAGGCCTGGATGTGATTTATAGAATCAGAGAATCTCAGAAGTGTGGAAAGAGGCCATTCAACCTATTGAGTCTGCACTGACTCTCTGAAGAGCATCACACCCAGACATTAATGCTGCCTGTCCTCTGCACTACCTAAAGAATATAAACTTTTATCTCCCAAAATACCTAGCGCTGCCTCATTCCAGGAGGAAAACAGCAAATGCGGACTTTACTGTCCCCAAGTCACTCAGAGCCCTGTCAGATTCTGTCCCATGTCTTTGTTCAAAAGTGTTTGTAAGGTTAAGGTCAGCAGTTACAGACCAGTCAGTTAATGTCACTGGTGGGGAACTGTTTGGAAACAATTATTTGGGATAGAACTAGAATATGAAGGGTCTAGGCCCGAAACGTCAGCCTTTCTGCTCCTATGATGCTGCTTGGCCTGCTGTGTTCATCCAGCCCTGCACCTTGTTGTCTCGGATTCTCCAGCATCTGCAGTTCCTACTATCTCTAGAATATAGAATATCCTTCTTTTTGTTACATGTACTCCATTGCAGGAGTACGGTGAAAAGCTTTTACAATGTCTGCCTTCTTATGGTGACATCTTAGGTACAAGTACCTAGGTACAATTCTTGGATACTGCAGAGGAATAAAAGTAGTTGCATTACATTACAAAGTTGAAAAATACATTAAAAATAGGACATCATTAAAGGGTTGACCTCACAGTAAGGAAATTTTAAATAAACATTACATTGTAGCAGCTCAGCTCAGGGCCTCTGCGCATAGCCTGACCGCCCGCGCCAGACCCCACCTAACAGCCGTCCCCCTCCGCTCCAAGCCCCAGACAGCTCTGTACCAGCAATAAGCCTCCCCTGCACTGGTCTCCACCCGGACTGTCTGCCTGCTCGCTGCTCTGGGGCTGCATCCCCCACCCCCATACTGCTCTGGGGGTGCTTCCCCCCCCCCGTACTGCTCTGGGGCTGCGTCCCCCCACTCCCGTACTGCTCTGGGGCTGCTTCCTCCCGTACTGCTCCAGGACTGTTTCCCTGTGCTGTTCTGAGGCTCACAGCCCACACGCTGTTCCAGGGCTCACAGCCCACACGCTGTTCCAGGGCTCACAGCCCACGCACTGTACCAGGGCTCACAGCCCAGATGATACAAAACTAGGAAACATTGTAAATTGTGAGGAGGAGAATAGTGTAGAATGTCAACAAACGTAGAGAAAATGTTCAAGTGGGCAGGTAGGTGGAAGCTGAAGTTTAATGCAGACAAATATGAAGTATTGTTTTTTAGTAAAAAGATCATAGACAATCAACAGAAGATAAGGGCATCAATTCCAACTGGGATGCAGGGGTAGAGGGACCTAGGTGAACGTATCATGAAAGGTGGCAGGACAGGTGCAGAGAGCAGTCAATAAAGTATACAGTATCCTGGCCTTTATTAATAGGAGCGTGGAGTATAAGAGCAAGAAAGTGATGTTAAACTTGTTCAACCTCAGTTGGAATATTGTGTACAATTCTGGTGCCATACTATAGAAAGGATGTAAACATTGGAGACAACACAGAAGAGAATTACAAGAATGATTCTCTAGGGATGAGAAACATCAATGATGAGGAGAGTTTGGAGACATTGGAACTGTTCTCGGAGAGAATCAGACTAAGAGGAGAAATGATAGATGTTTTTGCAGTCATGAAGGGTTTGATAGAGTAGATAGAGAGGAACTGTCACCCCTTGCAAGGCTGAAAGGGCATAAATTTAAAGTAAATTGCAAAAGAAGCAAATGCGTGTGAAAAAATTTCAGACAATGAGTGTTTTGGGTTGGGGAAATGTCAAGAAAATGGCACAACATAATGGTATTATTTGGAGATCTAATATAGACACAGTGACTTCAAGAACTGTGACTGTGATATCCTGGACTTTCAGTTGCTCAACTATAACAACTGGGACAGTGTACATATTGGGGGCTCACTGGAGAAACAGCTATTGAGAATGAGATAAGTGTCCAACCTAACCAACAAAGTCGACGTACAAAGTTTATATTTGCCAGCACAGATTTGCCAGCAGTCTGAGAATAAGGACTTACATGCATAGATTGCTCACAGGGGCTGCACACGACTCCATGGAAGACGTCACTGAGATGAAATAAACAACGTCAACAGATTCAGGACACAGTCAAAAAGATATTGCCTGGAGTTCTTGGGATGCTCTAGTCAGTTGTTAATATATTCTGAATAACATCTTCGTAAGTATCCCCAGTGTAAGCTATCTTCTGCATTTGTTAGTGGTTGTAAATTGCAAAATGCTGTTTGGAGTATTTACTGACCATAAGATAAACACATGCAGAATTAGGCCATTCAGCCCCTCGAGTCTGCTGCACCATTTGATCATGGTTGATATCTTTCCCAAACCTATTCTTTTGCCTTCTCCCCCTAACCCTTGATCCCCTTACTAATCAAGAACCTACCTACCTTAGTCTTAAATACACAGAATGACCTAACCTCCACAGCCCTCTGCTGCAATGAGTTCTACAGATTAACCACCACCCTCTACCTGAAGAAATTCCCCCTTATCTCAGTTTTAAAGGGTCATATCTTCTTCCTAAGGCTGTCCCCTCATGTCCTTGTCTCTCCTGCTAATGGAAATATCTTCTCCACACCCACTCTATGCAGGCCTCTCTATTCTGTAAGTTTAAATCAGATCCCCCCTCATCCTTCTAAACTCCATGTACAGATTACTGACTGAATTTAATGTAGCTGTTAGGCAACATGATAATAATGTATTACAGCTTCAAATGTATCAATTTTCAAAAGGGAAATAAATGACTGATCATTAGTTCCTTTAATGGAACAAGAACATTAGCTTTAAAGCAGGTAATTTGGGACAAAACAGTATTCTTAATGTTAGTCCTGTGCAAATTGCAAGGACAAAATAACCAGTAAAATGGTCTATTAAGTAGAAGTGTTAAGTACATTCCTGCAGTTTTGCAGTAGCTGTGGTGGCAGAATGTCAGTGTTTATAATGGTGAAGTGGCTTGTCTTGATGTTTCCATCTCACTTCTTAAGATGCTACAATTAGACATCCAGCTCACTGGAAAAATGGGGCCAGTTAGTCAATAACCTTTCAATAGAACTGCAATATATAACAGCTCAAGCTGCTTCAGTTCAGTTCCTTTTGCTCAGTGACTCATTACTGATCTTGGAATCAGATCTGTCCTTAGCAGGTACTTATTAACAACACCGTCAGAAGTAAATGTGCAGTGTGTCAAACATGACTTGTGGAACAACTTGATCCACAATGAAAAGTGAATCCAAGATTGCAGTTTTTGAATTTGTACTGGATTGTTGGAAGAAATAGAAAATCTGAATATTTCAACAAAGACATACCAACAATGAAACAGTGATAGACACATTAAAATATGAAATTTGACAAGTCAACTGCAATCAAAGGAAGTATGTACCAAAAATGCAGTAATATCAAGTATTAATTATGTAGCAAGTCACTGCAGCGGTCATTGAGATAAAAAATGTTTCATGATGATTAAATTAATTTTAACAGGATGGTGCTGTGTTTTTTGCATTGACGGTATTAAAACTGAAACAGAATAAGGCATGGAAGTTCCATGTTTGCAATTCCGACATTAAATGTACCATACTAATTGAGGGCAGTCCTTAAAACATCTTTTATAAGGTGTAAACCTTACTTTATACTTACTGGAATAGACCTTTGGCACTGTCAGGCAATGGGTTTTACTGTCTGGACGGGGAACCTATGATTTCTGTCAATGTGCAACTCCACATTCATATGGTCTTCTGAATCCTCAACAACCTCGCTAATTTGAGGCCATAACCCTCTTCACCAGGCATGCAGAAGATGAAATGAGGATTTGGATGAATATCACATATGCACCACAGGTGGGTTTGCAAGTGCTGTTATGGAATTGACCATCAATTCCACTCTGCAAAGGATGGTCTCCAAGTTCTATGTATTGCCCCGTGCTAAGTTTGTGGTGAAATTGTACTCTGGAGCTAGCCGTGCCCCCAGCCAAGCTGTTCCAAAACAGCTACGTCATTGGCATCTAACACATCAATATGGAAAATTGATTACATGTGTTCTATACACAAGCAGCAGGCCAAATCCAGTCCAGCCAAATACCACCCCATTAGTCTATGCTCAAAAACAGCAAAGTGATGAAAGGGACCATTGACCTGTTCACTAATGCTCTGTTTGAGTTTTGACAGGATGACTTATCTCTTGACCTCATTACAGCTCTGGTTGAAACGTGGGCAAAAGTTTTGAACTCAAGAGTTGAGGTGAGAGTGACTGCCCTTGACATCAAGGCCACATTTGTCCTGGTGTGGCACCCACCAAGGAGACTTAGTAAAACTGGAGTCAGTGGAACCCAGTGAGAAAACTGTCAGTGGCTGGAGACTTATCTGCACAAAGGAAGGTGACTGTGATCATTGAAGATCGCTCATCTCAGCTCCAGGACATCACTGCAGGAGTCACTCAGGATCATGCCCTACACCCCAGCATCTTTATAACTGACCTTCCCTCCATCATAATGTCAAAAAGTCAGAATGTTTGGTGACGATGGCACAATGTTGAGCAACCAGTATGCAAGAAGGCCTGGACGGTAATGAGCAACATTCACGTCACACAGGTACCAGGCAATGACAATTCTGTACAAGAAAGCCTCACAACATTCTCCTCCCTTAACCTTTAAAGGCATTACTATCACCGAATCACTTATTGTCAATATCAGGGCGCAAAATATATTTCTTTTCCCCCCAGGGCTCCTCTTGAGGGCTACTTGTTGATTTTGGGTCTTTTTGTCGTTCTTGGATTACATTTTCATTCTCACGAAAGCTTTATTAGGTTTTAGGCTTGTTACATTTATATATTTGTGTTGATGTGTAGAGTATTTGGACTCGCACACAGACAGAATTGCAGGAATTCATCAATATCCGCAA